CATGTCGATAATGGCTAGATGACATTGGCTCCACAACTAGCTACTAGACATTGAATATTGCATGTAGCTAAGTACAAGACCCATTATATTTTTATGGATAATGTTAGGAAGACCAAAAGAGGAAGATGTCTGTTGTTTCCTGATAGTTCTAAGAAAGATTCCAGAGAGTTCTTCCCAGGCCTATAAATATGTGTACATATCCTTTGTATTACTCATACTTGGTTGAGATATCTATAAAGATTACTTGTTTATATAAGCTTCCTTTGTTTAGCCTATATTCTTGTTTGAGTCATCCTAAAGAGTAAGTAAAGATCTTAGTTAGTGTAAAGCTTAGTTTTCCCTTTGACCCCTAAACTCATAATAATTGTTAGACTTTGGCAATTTCTTATATGACCCCTTACACGACACGTAAATAACATGAAACAATGGGTTTCGGGTTGATATGATAACTAATCAAGTTGTTATCGGGTCATACTATAAAAACCCGTTAATAACGAGTCCTTAATAGGTTTACACGTCGGTGATACATGGGTAACCCGTTTCGATATGTTAAGAAAAATTTTATTTTGATAATTTTAATTTTTTAAAGGGTAAATTACACTTTCATACCTTAGGTTTAGGGTCTATTTCAATTTCTTTTATACCTCAGGTTTGGGGTCTATTTCAATTCCTTACAACATCTTTAAAACATTTCCCTTTCATACCTTAAAAACTATTTTATTTTAAAATAATACCTCCATTACATTTTTCATTCATTGATCCGTTAAGTACTCAAGTGGCTGCCAAATGTGTGTCACACATCAAATTTTTTTTTTTGTTTTAAAAAAAAATCTGAATCTTCTTGAAAAAAAAAAAAAAAAAAAAAAAAAGAGGCTGCTGAACCCGCAACCCCCACCCGCCCAACCTGAAGAAGAGGAAGAGGAAAAAAAAACAAAAAAAACCCATCCCTTCCTTGCAACCCACCCAGTTCTTCCCTCTCCCGTCTTCCCCAAACCCCCCACAATCCATCGTCTTCTCCGAGCTCACTCGGCTATCTGCACACGCCATGATTCTATCGGATTACGAAACGGATTGGTTGGGATTTTAGAACCAACAATGGGAGAGAAGATGCAGAGCAGGGGATCCAGTGCTCGTCTCTCCGGCATCGTTTTCCGGTCTCAGATCCCGACGCTCTTGGTCTCCATGTTCGCCACCTTCGCCTCCATCTACGTGGTCGGTCGGTTCGTTCTCTTTCTCTTCTCTCTCTGCAGTCTGCACCCATTTGATGTTGCAAAAAAATGGATTAGACCCATGCGTTAAATTTTCTATCTTTCCCTTCCTTTTTGTTTGATCTGGGGATTGTGTATAGGCTAGGAAGAGGTGTGGGCTGGCGGGCGGGGGATGGTTTAGGGGGATCCGGCTTACTCCCAAAAATTTCAACTTTTGAAGCATCAAAAAGTAAAACTCCTCGAATTCAATCATGCCGATCAAATCAAAATCATGGTGCTTTTAGGGAGAGAGAGAGAGGGATTGAATTGGAATTGAAGAGGGAGGGAGGCGTACCAGGAGATTTTCTAACTTTTTTATTTTATTTTATTATTATTTAGAAGATTGAGGTTTTAAAAAAAAAAAAAAAAATTTTGTCACGTGGCACAGATTTGACAGTCACGTCAGCATTTAATGGATCAATGAATGAAAAATGTAACGGATGTATTATTTTGAAATAAAATAGTACTTAAGCACGAATGTATTATTTTGAAATAAAATAGTACTTAAGCTATGAAAGTGAAATGTTTTAAAGATGTTATAAGGAATTAAAATAGACCCTAAATCTGAAGTATGAAAGTGTAATTTACCATTTTTTAAACTAATAAAATAAACTTACTATAAAATACAATAGCCATAGTGTGTGTATATGTATTATATGAAATATGAAATATGTATTAGGTATTCTTAATTCAAGTTTTATTTATTTATTTATTTTTAGTATAAAAAAATATCAAGTAATTTAAAAATACCAAACATATTAAAAAATTAATAATTTATTTATAAGTGTAAAAAATGTTAAAAAATATGCAAACTCTCGTGATTGTATCCTCTAAGGTTTATGATAGGTACATCAGCGTGTGAAAACATATATAAACGTTTGTGATTGTATTCTCAACCTTGAAACGCAACTCCCTTCATTTTGTATATCCTTGAACATTTGGTATTTTGTAGTAATGTACTAATGTTTTTTTTACTAAGCTCTTATTTTGGGGTATGTAATACTTGAAAGAGAAATGTTTTTTTTTATATGTTTTGAAGTAATATTTATGTGATAATGTGATATATGTCACAGCCCATCCCAAATTTTTATGATTTTACAAATTTTAAAAACGTGATTTTACGAAAACATCCTAGAGGTAAAGGGTTTTTGGCTTTCGTTGATCAGTGTATAGTAAGAAGTATGGAATTCTTTTAGCGTATTGCTAGTGATTCAGTTTTTATTTATTCTTAATTCTATTTATCTTCTTAGATTCCGCACTGTGCACATGGTTACGTCACTCTCACGTGACGGCCAGCATGCCCTCCTTAGGTCGGGGTGTGTCAATATGCATATACTAATTTGGTATTATGTTTTCTATTTTTTTGGGTCAAATTATATTTTTCATTTTCATTATTTATTGATTTAAAATTTTTTTTAACGAGTAACGGGTGGTTCATATTACTTGATAATATTAATGGGTCGATTTCGAGTCGGGTTATATTACCCCGTTTACCTTAATAGATGTTACACGACACGATCTGTTACGATATCGGATGTGTTACGAAAATGACACGAACAAGGGAAACACGACACGAATGCCATGTCTAATAATTGTTATTGTCTAATTCTATTTTGTGCTACACTATATTTCATAATTTAAGAAAAATAAACGAAGTTAATAAAAATGACCAACAGAGCAACACAAGATAAAATCTGACAAGAGCATCTGTCATTTGAGTTTAAGGGCAAAAATGAAAATCTGGTTATATTTAATAAATTTTGTAGAAAATTGAACGAAGTTATATAATTGAAAGACAAGAACCTTCAAATATGGGTTTAGGGATCACTAGTATAAAAAACCATTTGCTGGACGACACCATATGTTTGTCGCGCAAAGGTTGAAAAAAAACGCAGATAGAGGGAGATTTGGCGCCAACATCTTGCGCAACGACCATTTTTCCGCGAAAACTTTGAGCGATGAAGTGTTCATCGCCCAAGGTGCTATGAAATGGTAGGTGAGCCATTTAAGGCCAAGTAATTACCACGAGCTTTGCGCGACGAAGAAGTAATTACCATGAGCTTTGTGCGACGAAGTCTTCGTCGTGCAAAGGTCCCACAGGTATAAAATTACATATTTACTCTCCCTTTTCTCACATATTTTTCTCCAAAGCCCTCAAGTTCTTCTTGTTTTCTTCTTCCTCAAACCCCTCATATCGGAAATACAACTCGAGTTATACTTTCATGAACTATTCCTGTCATTATATTCAATGTTGTTTCTAGTTAGGTCACTAAAACCTCATTGATATTACATTAAACTTTCTAAAATATTCGGGTCTTATAATACGACCCATAACATGAGGAAAGAGCCACTGAGAGGTACAGTATTACTCCGAAAATGAACATCAAAATATATATTGGACGACTTTTCTTGCCAAACGTTATGGACGGATTGCAACGACTGTCCTCGAGATAAAAGCAACGCCGTATAAGCTGGTATGCTCAAAATAAATGTTGGTGGTTAGCTCACCCAACCAAACAAGCACTCCCATGTCAACAATCTGCTCTAAATTTATAATTGCATAAAAACAAATTGTCAGAGTATCACAGCTTGGTACGCGCTTTCATTTCTAGTAGAAGTTATGTTCATATGTAATGAGTTTGATGACAATATATGATTGACTAAGTGACAACTGAAATTTCCACTCTACTCAAATATTGTTGTCGCAATAAATAAAGAAAAAGAAATGGCAACAAATGAAAGTTTTCATACTCGACGATAACATCAGTATTGTACCCGAATTCTTTTAAATTACAATGGAAGGAATCAAATCATTTGTATGCCTAAGCCTAACCCATTTTCAGATATGAGCTAAACTCGAGGGCTTATTGTATCCTGAATTTTGCTCATTTATTTTCCATGATAATATTGTATTTATATTGAAAAACTATGTAGTTTTATACTTTTATAAACATACTCTTGTAACTCTAAATTCTCTACTTATTTATTTCTCATTATAATTACTAAACTGTGAATCTAGTACACTTCAGTAACTGTAATTTTCTAGATCGATAAGATTCTTGTAACTCAAATGCCTAAGAGTGTTTCTTACGAAATCTCGACCCAAAACCACGTAAATTTCATCAGGGATAAGCTCTTTATATGGAAGCTACATAAGTACATAGAGTCGTTATTCATTCACCATTCCATGTCTCCCATGCATACAAATGCACACAATAGTAGACATGTATACGGCTTGCTCAACTAATCTCAATAACTCCCACACTGCTTCATTGAATGCGAAAATTTAAGATGAAGGTGCACTTTCCTCCAAGTTAGGTGAGAAATTCATGGGATTTTCCTCTAAAGCTCCATCGTTTCTAGACAGAGATTGACAGAAAGGTGATAATATAAGGTTTTGTTCATCTCCATTACTATTGAAATATATGGGATATTATATCCATACACGCTTATAATTAATTTATAAAATTTTTACATAGGAAGGGTGGCCAACTACCTTACCTCCGCTAGTATTAATTATAAATTTTGACAGTTTCTAGATAATTTCTCTTGTATATGTGTGTGTATGTGTGTATGTATGTATACATATGTATATGAATGATTAGACAGAAATTGAGAGAAAGTGAAACGAAATTAATGGACTGAAAAGAAAGAAAAAGAGAAACGAACCGCTTTTTCAGCCTCCCTAATTATTCCCCGGCCCCTCTTCTCCCCTCCTCTTCGTGTTATAAGTGACATTTTTTCTTTTCCTTTCCTTCTATTCATTGCCTCACTCTCCATCTTCTTCTTCTTCTTCTTCTTCTTCTTCTTCTTCTTCTTCTTCTTCTCCTTCATCATGCACATTGTCGCAGAACCCTAATCCAGATCTCACATTCCAAACCCTAGCCTGCCAGATATTCATTTTTCTTCACAATTTATCTGGGATTTCTTTCGTCTTTCAGTTTCGATTCGGGTTTTTCATTTTGTTACTTAATTTTTCATGTTCTTGCTTGTCCGTCCATTTTTTCTTGGATCAGTTTAATTACTTGGGTCAGGGGTTAACTTTCGTATTACTGGGAAGTGAAGTGGTTTAAATATTTTCAAGCGCGGGCTTGCTAATCAGTTATTAGATGGAGGCATCAATGGCTTTAATGATCTTATCAGCCATAGCGGCGTATTTATTTTGGTTCAAGATGATCTCACGGTCAATGTACGGTCCACGTGTCTGGCCGGTAGTCGGCAGCCTTCCGGGTCTCATCCAGAACGTGAACCGGATGCACGACTGGATCGCCGATAATCTCCGCGCGTGCGGTGGCACGTACCAGACGTGCACCTGTGCCATTCCCTTCCTGGCACGCAAGCAAGGGCTTGTGACTGTCACATGCGACCCCAAGAACTTGGAGCACATTCTGAAGCTTCGGTTTGATAATTACCCCAAGGGTCCTACCTGGCAAGCTGTGTTCCATGATCTGCTTGGTGATGGGATCTTCAACAGTGATGGTGACACGTGGCTGTTCCAGCGCAAGACGGCGGCACTGGAATTCACCACCCGAACGCTCCGCCAAGCCATGGCCCGTTGGGTGAGCCGAGCCATCGAGCTTAGGTTTTGCCCGGTTCTTGAGACGGCTCAGAACGAAGCTAAGCCTGTAGATCTTCAAGATCTCTTGCTCCGGCTCACTTTCGATAACATATGCGGGTTGGCCTTCGGGAAAGACCCACAGACGCTAGCTCCGGGCCTTCCCGAAAATGAATTCGCAAATGCTTTCGACGGAGCCACGGAAGCCACGTTGCAACGCTTTATCTTGCCGGAAATCATTTGGAAGTTCAAAAAGTGGCTTGGGCTCGGAATGGAAGTCAGCTTGAACCATAGCCTCCATCGCATCGATAAATACCTATCCGCCATCATCAACGCGCGTAAGCTCGAGTTGGAAAGCCAGCAACAAGGTCTTTGCAATGGGACCCCACATGATGACTTGTTGTCTCGGTTCATGAAGAAAAATTCCTACTCCGACAAATTCCTCCAACAGGTGGCGCTCAACTTCATCCTAGCTGGACGTGACACGTCATCGGTCGCGCTGAGTTGGTTCTTTTGGTTGGTGATTCAAAACCCACAAGTTGAGGAGAAAATCCTTTTTGAAATTTGCACCGTTCTGATGGAGACACGTGGCAGTGATACTTCCAAGTGGGTGAAAGAGCCCTTGTTCTTTGAAGAAGTTGATCGACTGACATACCTTAAGGCCGCATTGTCCGAGACCCTAAGGCTTTACCCTTCCGTTCCACAAGACTCCAAGCAGACAATCAACGACGACATTTTGCCGAGCGGGACTTTTGTACCGGCCGGATCTTCAATCACATATTCAATCTACGCAATCAGTCGCATGAAGTTCATTTGGGGTGAAGATTGCCTAGAGTTTAAGCCGGAGAGGTGGTTGTCTTCTGATGGCAAAAAAATGGAGGCACAAGATTCTTACAAATTTGTATCTTTCAATGCCGGTCCGAGAATTTGCTTAGGCAAGGATTTAGCTTACTTGCAAATGAAGTCAATCGCGGCAGCGGTGCTGCTGAGGCACAGGCTCGCGGTGGTGCCAGGCCACCGGGTTGAGCAGAAGATGTCATTGACATTGTTCATGAAGTATGGCCTCAGGGTTAACGTGCACCCTAGAGATTTGACGCCTATTTTGGCAAAAATAGGCAAGGGTGGCCAATGCGGAAAAGAAGATGTCGATATTGTGGTTTGAGAGGGCTAATTAAGGTCAATGTCACATATAGCTCTTATAGTTCTAATATTATATCTTAGAATTAACACTCCTAAAATTCTCATTTTGCACTCCAAACTTTCTGTATTTAGAAAGAAAAATACACTTGTGAGGAGTGCCAAATGAATTTTTTAGAGCGTCAATAATAGTTCTTTATATCTAATAGTATTAGTAATATATATATGAGAAAAAAAAATGGAGAAATTATGGAGTTTATTATGGACCTTATATTTTGAGTGATTCTATATTATTATGGTAAGCAAGACATTGATTGGTGGGAGACTTGAAACATAATTATGTATGTTTGTAGTGGACTTTTGGTCTATGTATCTACATGTCATATTTAATAAGAAATAAGAGAAATGAAGCTCAGTTTGTATATTACCCTTGCATTATTAAATGTGTCATTAATTAGATGAGTGTGGTTTAATCCACCAAGTATATGTACCGTACACGAATCGTGATTTTAATGCCACCCGTGACCGAATCGTGGTGTAATGTCACCCGTGACCAAATTGTGATATATTCTAACCTTTTATGTGTCATTTACATTTAGGGTGCGTTTGTTGCACCGGACTGTCTCGGACTGGACTAGTTGCAGGGATTAAGCTGGACTAGCTTAGACTAGATTAAGTTGGATTAACTTAGTGATGCGTTTGGTGCAGTGTCGGACTAAGAAGCAGGATAATAAAATTTTCAACATGCAATTCACAAATCCGACACCAAATTAGCACAAACAACTCAAATTGGGTCCAAACAGGGACTCTTTCTTCTTCTTCGGAAATTACAAGCAAGGACTCTTTCTTCTTCTTCTTCCTGGAAATTACAAGCAGGGACTCTTTCTCCATGTCATTGTCCCTGGAGCCCTGGAGCACATTGCACATTGCACACTACACACACACACACACTTAACAATCTGCTTGTAACCCATCAAATAGTCAACGGAACGGGTAGAATCCAATCAGTCCATAAAATTTAACAGATTGACAAACTCTAACACATAAACCTTAACTAAATCACATTATACAACCTGCAAAAACTCAACTTAAATTTTGAAATTCAACACCTTTCAATAAACCTAGATTCCATAAATAAATAACAAATAAAAAAACAGATGGAAAAATTTCAAAAGAACCAAAGAGAGTGAGAGACGTAAAGAGAGAGGGTTACTTCGACGGGGATCGAACGGGGGAAGAGGAGGAGCGATTTAGGTGGAGGGTGACCAGGATGCTGATGAGGGCAAGCAGGACGTAGAGATGAGGATGAGGATGAGGAAGCATGGCAAGGAGGGAGTAGGGAATGCAGGGAGTGATGGCGACGACTCTCTCTCGCATGAAGAGCAAGGTTTTCTCTTGCAGGTGGTCTTACAAGTCCCGCCGAAGTTCTTGGCCAAGAACTCCTAACGAAGTCTTTAATCCCAGCGAGTCCCATCTAATCCCATTAAACCTAATCCTTGTGCAAACCAAACATGAAACTACACTAGCAATTAGTCTAGTCTGGTCCAATCCCCCCTAATCCGGTCAAACAAACACCCCTTTAGGACTTCAAAGTAGTGGGGTTTGCAGAAGCTTTTCACCTATGACTCTGTGCCATCTCCTTCCCCCAAAGTAAAGCGCCTAACCTCTGAAACCTCCTTTGCCATCGGCCACTTTGCTCAGGCTTGAGGTCGGTGGCAGCCTAGCCCTCCCTTCCTCGTCCTCCTCTATCTTCCTCGTTCGTCCACCCTATATTTTCATCCCTTTCGTCTATCTCTTCCTATTTTTTCGCCCTTCTTCCTCTTCCTTTTTCTCCCCCTTGTTTCCTTTTTTTCTCCCCTTCTTTCGTTGTCTATCCTCCCGATTTCCCCATCTCCTCTTTCTCCTCCAGCTCCACCACAGTTTTTCCCTCTCCAAGCCACCAAGGTTGGAGATTTAGTTTATCTATTTATGCTTTTAGCTTTCTTTTGCTTTCTGTCTGAGCATTTTGTGTCTCAGGTTGCTTTAAGCTTGGTCTCAGTATTCCTTGAGTTTATCTCAAATCTATTTTCTTTGCCTTGTTCCTCTCCAATCATCGCTTCTCACCGTGAATCTCCTACCATCTACCCTTGCTGCTTCGCAAAATTTAAAGTGCTTTTTGCATTACTTGGTAGGATTATGGGAGCGCTTCCAATGTGGGTAACTTGCCTACCCCCATTTTCCGTTCATCCTTTTGGTTCTTTGGCCCTTTTTCCGGGTGGTGGTGACGGATCCGCGGTGGCGATGCGACTGTGTTGGTGGAGGTGGCTGTCTATGGTTTTCGATTTGGTTGTTGCTATGGGCTGCTCACTTTGGGCCCTTCTCATTGTAATTTTCATTTATGGTGTTGAGCTTTTGCTTGGCTTTTCTGGACTTTTCATTGTAATTTTCGTTTATGGTGTTGGGCTTTTGCTTGGCTTTTCTGGACTCTTTTTTGGAGTTGTCCTTACCTTGTATTAGCTTTCTCTTTAATGAATTATACTTTGTTCGTCCAAAAAAAAAAAAAAAAAAAGTGTCATTTACATTTAAGGGGCAAAATATTCTTGGAATTTTTAATTTATTATGTGCTTAAAATTGATCTGGTATGACATATTAACGCGATGGTTTAGACAGAAGCTCCTCGATTGTGCTTTCTAGAGAGTTTTTACAAAGTCATGAAGTAGCAAAAAAGGGTATTTACAAAAGAGTTTGACAAAGGTTATAAATAAAAAACAAAGTTAACAGTGTTTAAATAATTCTATGGACCGCAGGACCACTAGTACTATATATAGTGAAGTGCTCACTCCAACCAAAGCATATCGTTATATCATAAAATAAAATCAAAAGGACAAAGAAAGGAAATCGAAGCAGACTTGGAAGATTAAAACATCACAATAGGCGTAGAGCTACAGGAGGAATATAGAGTACTTGAATACGTACAGATCTGCCAAATCTAAACAACAAATACTATTTCAACATAATTTCATTACTTGGAACTATTTAACCTAATTGATTACAGCACTGTCGCTATATAAACTCGACGTCACGACGAATGGAGAAGGGAAATTAACTAACTAGTTACAATTAGTTGCAAGGTAAAATTATTCTTGATCATGAACCAGACATGCCCCTTTAAGTACAGAGAAAGTAAACATGAATTTGGAAGGTGTGGGCAGTGGCGAAGCCAGAATATGTCAGGGGGAGGGGCGAACTTAAAATGTCCAAGTTCAAAAAAATGGCACATTCAAATCCTTTTATATAGTAATGTATTCCATAACTTATTAAAACAAACAAAAGCATGCAAGGATTTAGCACTGTTTTTTCTTGTAGTATCGTTTTATTACGTAACAGTATGGTGGAAAAAAAACTCTTTGACTCTCAGACCAGAGAAAAACTTGTGTGGGGCTTGGCTTGCCACTGGATTTTGTTGAGTGGCACTACAATCCACTCAAAACTCGCCACGTGGCAAGTCTTAAATATATTCTTTTATCATTCTTTTATATTTCAAATTTTTATAATTATTTTTTTAACTAATTAATATATTATATATATTAATGTTATGTTTCCTTTTTTATTTCTTTCCCCCTATATTTTTTCTTCCCAAATCCACCCCACACCCCCTCCCCCGGGGCAACTTTGTTTTGTCGTAGATCTTAGGTTTCAGTACTCTTACTCCTTTCTTTCTTTCCCAGTTTCGTTTCTTTCTTTCTTTTAAAAAATAAAAAAAAAAATAAAAAGTTCTACACCCACTCCAATTTTATCATGGAAAGCAACTAAGAATCTGTAAGTTTTTTTTCTTTCTTTATACAATAGTTGCTTTGATCATGTGACATGAATAACCCACATATATAGATGTAGTAGGGTTATTTTCTTTTCTTTTAATTGGGGGTTTTTGGGTTCGGGTGAGGTTTTTTGGATTTTTTATATTTATAATATGAATTAGGGTATCTTCTATGTTTGCTACCTTCTTTATTATGAGTCTTTAATTAATATATTAGTCTAATCTTTGATTTTTTTTTTTTTTTTTCAATTGATAGGTTGCTGCTGAGGCAATGGAGTTTGAAGAAGATCTGAAAATCGGAATGGTGGTGCATTCAGACGCTGAAGCTTACAGATACTTGGTTGCTTTCCATGATAAACTTGGAGTGGGTGCATAACTTTATTTTATTTTATTTAAAGAAAGAAAGAAATGAAATTGGGAAAGAAAGAAAGGGGAGGGAGTCCTATGACCTACGGCAAAACAAAGTGTGTGTGGGGGGGGGGATTTGGGAAGAAAAAAAAAAGGGGAAAGAAATAAAAAAGGAAACATAACATTAATATATATAATATATTAATTAGTTAAAAAAATAATTATAAAAATTTTAAATATAAAAGAATGATAAAAGAATATATTTAAGACTTGCCACGGTGGGGGGATTTGGGAAGAAAAAAAAAATAGGGGGAAAGAAATAAAAAAGGAAACATAACATTAATATATATATATATATATATAATATTAATTAGTTAAAAAATAATTATAAAAATTTTAAATATAAAAGAATGATAAAAGAATATATTTAAGACTTGCCACGTGACAAGTTTTAAGTGGATTGTAGTGCCATTCAGCGAAGTCTAGTGGCAAGCCAAGCCCCATACAAGTTTTTCTCCTCCTGCTGTGGATTGGATTTTAGCCAAGAGTTCATACGAAGCCTAATTGGCTTCTTGGACATTTTTACCCTTCCGTAACTAGGAAACAATAATGTTTTACTTTACAATTTTTTACTTCCTTTCCTTATGTAACTAATGGCCCAAGTAAAATGAGAGCTACAACCCAAGATACAACGGGAGGCCGTCACAAACATAGGCCCAAAGGTTGCAAAAACAAAAGAACCCTTACCTCAACCTGCATAAACCAGATTGCCGCCGTTGTCACATCTTCGGAGGAAGCCAAACTCTGACCCGAGAAAGTAGACACCAGATCCAAGTCCCCTTCACAAACCCCTGCAAATATATACAAACAAAGTATCATACGGGTAGAGAGTGAGGCTAAGGAGGTATGTAAAATACCCAAGACTTGGCCTTGATAGGGATTCGGCATAGGCATGCCGGTTGGGAAAAGGAAAGTGAAGGAGGGTAGTGGATTTGGTATCCAATTCTTGATCGGAGCCCGCCTATCTGAGTACATGGTGGGATGAGGATGGAGTATCATAACTAAGGAAGAGAGAAGACAGAAAATTAAAAGACATAAAGCAGTAAAAGTGGGCAAAAGACGCCGGATAAGGGGCATGGAGCCCAAACTTGAGACAAGCTCAACGGATAGTTGAGACTCGATTAAGGAAGAACTGAGATAAACTCGGGGAGAATCATGAATAAAACAAAAGAATGAGACTGGAAAGAGGAGAGGAAGATATGGATGCAGAGGAAGTGAGAGGGGAGGAAAAAGAAGAAAACGGTAAATGAGGGAAGAAGAAGACTAGAAAGAGGAGGAAGTAGCAAGTTGCCACCTAACCCGAGCAAGCGCAAGGGGCGGTGGCTAAAAGTTGAAGCTGGAGATGAGGCTCTGGATCTGGGTTTCTAGAAAGGGAAAATGTGTTACTCGAATTGTACTGTTTAACAAGTTTTAAAAACGTTATTAGAGAATAATAAGTGTACAATTGCTAGAGAAGCCTCATTTGAAAAAGGAAGAAAAAAGAGATATAAATATTGAGATATACATAGGTGAAACATATTTCAGATATATAATTGAAAAACATCAGTGTTTATTGAATAACACAACAAAAGGTTATAGTGCCAAAGAAAATGAGATTCATTGGCTCGTTACCTGGTTTGAATTGAACTTGTAAACCTTATTATGACTGTCTGTAATTTAGTTGTACACATGTTCATAGTCGAGAAGTGTACGTACACAACTTCTGCTTGGTATTAATTGTTACAGGATGATACTCGTATTCCAAGAAGCATATGCAAGCAATTCCTGGTTGATTTCGAAAGAGGCCATATTCTGTTCTTTCAAAGTCGTGCACAATTCTATGGTGATGCAATCACTTACATCCACCAACGTCATCGTGTTTTTCATTTCTCGGTTACTAGGGATGTCCATCCATGATGGTCTTCCCCTTCAAACTTGGCTGAGTGGAAAGGAAACCTGCACCAACTTGAGTTACAATAACTGTCCATATCCTCATTTTGGATGCACTTAACAAATTCCATAGAGAATTGAAATACATCATTCCCCTTATTCCATTAGCATAGCGCACCTTAAATTCCTCAAAGCCTTTCCTCTACTTAGCAACCAAGTTTTGAATATCATCGTGATCTTCATCACTTCTTCTGTCTTTACTACAAAATAACCAACAACATTTCCCAATACATCTTCTATCGAAGGCTGAACCAATATATATATTCCTTATGTTCACAATTTGACACCAGATGGATGGCCTTACAAAACTCAAGTTTGATCTTGATGCTTCCATCGCGGATTTCCAAATGAGAACGGACACAACTTCGATGCGGGTAGGATTTGGCATGGTGGAACTTGTAGTTTTGGTCTTGAGAGCAACAATCTTTGGAGCATTAATTTAACACAAACGTTTTCTGAGTCACATAGCTTTCTTGGACAACTTGCATGGAAGGTTTGTCAGGAAATCCAGTGGTAGAAAAAGTAATGCTAGAGCATCAAATTCTGATACAGGCACTATATCACTAGTAGTATTGGAGCCAAGGGCAATTGCAGCCCAACTTTTAAAGAATCTGCTGGTTATAAACGCATTAGCTACCTTATGCAAAATAGCAATCCCGATCACCATGTCACCATATACAAAGAAGTTGGCTTGGACTAGGAGAAGTTAGTGTTGAGAATATCAATCCCGCATTCAGATTTTACACATGTAATTATGTTATCGGAGAGTTCTTTTATTAACTCGTAAGCTATGTAATGGTACACTTTCCATTAGCTCATAGGCTAGATACAATGGAAGGCTGAGGTTGATTGAGTTTGTTAGTTCTCTCTCTCCCCTCCAACGGTTCTTTTTGTACTGATGTTGAGCTTATATGTTCAGTGTGATGAATGAGAATCCTAGCTGCAAAAGTTATATTCTCTCTGCGACAAACCCTCTGTGTATCCATTCTTTCTTCTTTATTTTTCACATCATACGAGAATTATAGCTTACATTTTGAATTACATTTATGGTAATCAGAGTTTGAATTTTAAGATGGCCTCAGAGCCTGTTTTGATTTGAAATCTGGGCGTTGGTTCAAGAACAAAAATCTTGAGCTAGTGATTTGAGTCTAACATGGCTGTATCTAGAGGGACTGAACTGGAGGCATCAATATTCAATAGGGATAACTTCGATTTCTAACAAATCAAAATGAAAACCATCTTCCGATCTCATGAGCTCTAGGACTTGGTTAAGAATGGGTTTACATCGCCAGAAAAGAAAGATGAAGACCTCTCCGCTGACGAAAAGAAGCTATTGAGAGAGAACATAGTCAAAGATGCTTGAGCACTCGGAATCATCCACGGTGTTGTATCCGATCAAAATTTTCTTTGGATGCCAATAAAGAAACTGCTAAGGCTGCTTGGGACATCCTCAAGCAAGAGTTCAATGGTGATAAAAAGTGAAGTTAGTCAAGCTTCAAGGACTCAAGCATGAATTTGAATATCCACGAATGAGTGATGATGATTCTGGCATGAATTTGAATATCCACGAATGAGTGATGATGATTCTCTTTCTGTTTATTTGGTTAAAGTGTTTGATCTCATTAATCAGATGAAAACTAATGGCAAGGAATTAGTAATCAACGAATTGAGCAAAAATTGTTCTTCAACAAATAAAAATATAAGATGATACAATCATATCAGTAAGGAAAGAACTAATTTACATGAAATCATCCTTAACTAAGAATCTTGAGATTATAGGAATATAAAAAAGTTAACACTCTCAAGTTAGTGCATATATGTCGCACATGCCCAACTCGTGTAAAAAACTTGAAAACTTATGACTTGAAATAGCCTTTTTAAGGATATCTGCTAACTGATCTTCCGTTCTTATGTTGGTACCTCATTTATTTTCCCTTCTAATTTTTCTTAAATGAAGAATCGATCAACTCTAACATATTTTATCCTATCATGTTGTACCGAATTATGTGCAATGTCACGAGCAGCTTTATTATCACAAAATAGTTGCATGGGATGATCATGCTTTATACCTAATCGCTTGACAAAAGTTTAAGCCACAAAATATCACAAATCCACAAGGTCATACCTTTGTATTTAGCTTCTGCACAACAATGGGCAACCACATTCTGTTGCTTACTTCTCTAAGTAACCAAGTTACCACCAACAAATATCAAGTAACCTGATGTTAAGTGCCTATCATCCACCGAACCTACATCAGTATAACTTTCAATTCTAAAATGGTTATTCCTTTTAAACAAAATTCCTTTGCCCGGACTTCCCTTCATATATCGCAAAATCCTCATTACTGCATTCATATGTTGTTTTCCAAGGTCGTGCATGTATTGACTTACAACACTCAAGGCATAAGCAAGGTCTGGTCTTGTGTGTGCTAAGTACATTAAATGACCTATTAACCTTTGGTATCTCTCTTTACCAACTAGTACTAGATTAGGATCAACACTAAGCTTCAACCCTTCCTCCTATGGTGTAGCTACTGGCTGACAAGCTGATGTGCCAGTTTCATGCAGTAAATCAATAATATACACTTCCTTTAAGACAAGAAAATTCCAGAACTGCTTCTCAATACCTCAATTCCTAGAAAATATTTCAGGGATCCAAGGTCATTCATCTTAAATTCTATAAACAGGTATCTTCGCAAGGTCGCACGCTCTTCCAAATCATTCCTTGTTACCACCATGTCATCTACATACACAATGAGTGTAGTTAGCTTCCATTTCGTTTTTCAAAAACAAAGTATGATCTGTGTTACTTTGTCTGTAGCTAAAGGTTCTCAAAGACTTTGTGAATCTTTCAAACTATTCTCGAGGGGACTGCTTCAAACCATACAAAGATTTCTTCAACTTGCACACCTTTCTTTTGTACTTATCTGGAGCGTTACATCCTGATGGAAGATCCATATAAATCTCTTTTGTCAAATCTCCATGCAAGAAGACATTCTTCACGTTGAACGGTTGTAAGGGACATACCTTTATAAAACACGAACTGTGTTGATCTTGGCCATAGGGGCAAATGTATATGTATAGTCGATTCCATATTTTTTTAGTGTACCATTTCGCCACCAATCTTTCCTTAAAGCGATCCACTGTCTCATCAGCTTTGTACTTCATAGTATAAACTTATTTACATCTAGCTGGCAAGTCTGTGATCTTCTAGTTACTATGCATTCATCTCTACAAGTCTGTGATCAGTTTCGTAAATAATTTTGGGAATACCTTGGTTGACATAGTCAGGGAAATGATGTGGAGGTGGTGCATCTGGGATCGAAGACGATTGCTTATAGGTATGGGGCTTAAGGGTGGTGAGATTGACTGTGAGATGACTGGTGGCACTGAGTTGTCTGGCAGTGAGGATGGCAGTGAGGTTTCTTGCATCGGCTCATCCCTTTTAAGGTTTTCAACATTGTTTTCATGTGAATGATCACCACTTGTCTCCAAGGTATTACCACTTAATTCCAAGTCATTCACAACAATATTTTCTTGTGAACGATCACCATTGGTTTCTAAGACATCACTAGTTAAATCTAAATCATTCACAATATCTATATCCAAAATAGTATAATCAAGAGTTTGAACTTCTTTCTAATTCTCCCCCCTAAAGTGAAAACCCGGGATTGGCAAAGTACATATCAGTCTTATGAAATGCAACATCTATAGTGACAAACAACTTTTCGACGGATGGTGATAACATTGATATCCTTTTTTATTTAAGGCATATCCTACAAACACTATGTGGCCCAAAGTTCAAGCTTATTTCTTTATTGTTTATGGAGATGAATGAATGTTCCACAGCCAAACACATGAGGTGAAAGATTAGGGACTGTAAGAGCTTCAACATGTGAGGATAGAGCTTGAAGTGGTGTTTGAAAATCAATTGATCGAGATGGAACACGATTAATGAGATACGCGATTGAGGTAAGAACTTATCTCCAATAAGATAAGGGAAGACGTTCCTTAAGCAAGATAGCATGAACAACCTCCAGAAGTTGATGGTTCTTTCGTTACAACCCTATTTTATTGTGAAGTAAATGGACATGTGGTTTGATGAACAATACCATGATGATCAAGGAAGGCATAAAGTTCAGAGTTCACATACTAGCTACTATTATCACTCTTGAAGACCTATATTTATGACTTATACTGTACTTGCACCATTTTGTGGAAACATTGAAACAAATAAGGAACTTCACTTTTGGACTTCATCAAACAAGCCTAAGTCATACGTATGCAATCATCAATAAAAGTAACAAACCAATGAGCCCCCAAATGTAGTAGTTTTACAAGATCCCCAAACATCAGAATGAATGATCATAAATGGAACTGGACTTTTATTCAAACTTGACAAAAACGAAGTACGATGACTTTTAGATAGTTCACAAACACCAAGGCGACGATGCCACAACCTCTGTAAATACTTGAAAGAAGCATGTCCAAGGCAACGATGCCACAAGCAAACCTCCAAAACTTTTTTCCTCTCCTTTTGAGATCATTCCATGACAAATGCTTGAGTAAACATTCAGATACTGTTCGATGTTAGCTCCAACTAGTAGAGCCTCCCTTTTCTAACACCATAACCAATCGTCTTGCAAGTTTGAATGTCCTTAAAAATACAAAAAGAAGGCAAAAAAATTACAAGACAATGTAGGCGATAGTTATTTGAGTAACAAATGACAAACTATAATCAAGGGAAGGAACAACAAGTACGGTATCAAGATTAAGGGTATCAAAAATGAAGAGCAGCTCCCCTAATAATGGGGGCAGCATTATTGTTGGCAACCCTCACGAAAGTTTTGTTGGACGATTTTAAGGCTTGTACCTATTTAGGATCACAAGTCATATGTTCAGTGTAACAACCCGTCCCGGGATTTACGGAAGAAAATGGGTATTTTTGTATTTTCACTAAGTTTGGGGGATACCTTTCTTTTTAAAATTGTTTTTTTAGCCTTAATTTGTGAGCCCAAGGGGCCCACCCCCTGTTTTGTCCCCGGTTCCCTTTCCCTTTTCCTTTCCCTTTCTTTTATTTCTTCTTACTCTCTCCCTCACCCATTCTCTCTGTCTTTCTCTCCCTCCCTCCGAGCAGAACACACACACACACACACACACACACACACACACACCTATGCCTACACCTATAACTCTTTTCTAACCCCGTGGTTGTGTTTTGGACGTCAAACCATGAAGAAATCACCTCAGAGACATTTCCCCATTTTTCCTGCGAGCACCACCCTTTTCGAGGCAATTTCCGGCTAAACCACGGCGAGTTGGCCAGCTTGTGAGGTATCATTCTCTTCGTCTCGCTGAGTACTACAACTTTCCTTTTTGTTTCACCTAAT